TAAATAAATAAATAAATAAATAAATAAATAAATAAATAAATAAATAAATAAATAAGACAACAGAGCAGCGATTCTTCTAGTGAATCAAGAGATGAAGTATTACTAAGGTGAGAAGAAAGGTGAAAAGAATGCTCAATGGTTATAGAAAGCGGGTCACGGTTTGTTCTCTAGTCGCTCCAAGGTTCCTTGCACGCCACCTTTGATCACTCAGTTTTATTTTCGCTTCCACCAAGAGGTGTTTTTTTTTGAGTGCCTTGATGTTACGTGCGTTTGTGTGTGTCTGTTGAAACTCAGAAATGTATCGTCAACTTATCATGTGTAAAAGTAGAGAGATCCGCCAGGGTTGCCATACTTCCTATGGCCTTTCCTTGCCTCCTAACAGCTGTGATCGAACAGTCGAACGAAAATTGTGATTAGTATCCAATCGAATCAATATTGGCCAAAAATCAACACTTACTTAAAGTAAAGGAAATAATAATATTGTCCAAGAGTATATGGTGATTATGTAGTCGACAGTAAAATAAAACATCTGCAAAAAGAAGCAGGGATCTATAAGAAATCGAAATTTTTTATCTTATGTAAAGCTTTCAACTTTTGAAGTAGACAAACCATCTACCTTTCTTCATTGAAAAATCTGTATCCTACGCTCATTTTGGATCGTTTTAACTCTCCAGACTTTCGCGTTTTCGAAGTGGGATATATATAAATATATTTATACATTTTTTTTTAAATTGTAAAGATGTCCATATCTTGCCACAACGACTGTTTAAAATAAAATTAGTCTATCTTTGCGAATCAAATAATAGTGGTTTGTTCTGACAAATGTAGAAACAGTGTTCTAGTTCTGCGACTTGCATTCTCCTCTAAGAAAAGGCATTTGATTGATTCTGATTTAAGTCTGCTATAACTATGCCAGAGTTATCCTTTTCTTTCTTTGACGACGTCACGAAACATCAGAGGTGTCACTGGAGTGCTGTCGACATCACGTGGTGCGTGATAGTACTTCCGTCAAGAGTACATCGTAATCGTAACTACTACAACAACAATGTTGATGACAAGAAGAAGAAGAAGAAGAAGAAGAAGAAGAAGAAGAAGAAGAAGAAGAAGAA